ACACACACAGACAACCTCTCGTCAATATGCGTTTTTCGCATTGCATAGCTGCAAAAAAACGCATAATAAAAAAGAGCAACCGAACTTGATAAGCGAATTCGATTTCATCAACGCTGAGTGCTGTAATGTCGTCATCAAGCGAAAATACGGCTTCTGTAGTTATTTCGGAGAATAAGATGAAACGATTTGATAATAAATTTCTGTCCATTTGGATGATATGTGTGGGCCGATTCAGTTGCGGCCATTCGGTTGCTGCAAATGCATTTTTTAACAAAAAATACCGTAAAAAAGTTGTCATTTCACCATTAGCCAGTTTTCTGCCATCGACGGTGGTTCGGCATACAATCATGATTATAGCATCGAAACAAAAATTGAACCGCTTTTTTTTACCACAACACAATACCCATTGGTTTTATAGGCATAAACTAGTAAGCCCACTCCGTCATCAGCATATAAGCAACACCCGAAAAGTTAGCCATTGAAACAGACTCTCCGGAATCAGTTCAGCCGGAGATAGAGAAGTTGTTTTCGTAAAGCGCCACGGTTTCTGTGATGTCTCGTACGCTTTGTTCGACCCATGAAAATCCGCGGGAGACAACTTGAATTTCGTGCCAGATCTACCGATATCCGCAGCAGACCTCCAAGGTAAACAGTCTCCAGTCGATAGAATAATGTAGGCAAGGGAAGTCGGCAAATCTGATCCGTAACTTCGGAAAAAGGATTGGCTCTAAGGACTGGGCCGGTCGGGCTGCAGTGTGAAGTGAGTACGGTTTGATCCATGCAGTGCAACGCTTGGTGAAATAAATAGGTGAAGCTAGGCAAGTGTTCGGATTACTGCTGGCACCTACCGCCATCCAAATAATTCAAAATGCCTTCGCCTTCCACACAAAGTGAATGCAGGGGAGAATTTTTACTTCCGATTTTTGCTTTTTTTTGTTGTTTAGGAACAGGATAAGAGCCGCATCACGTTCTCTGATTTTTTTTAGCTCTAAAATGCAACTAATGACGGTCGTGAGATTCTCTTCAATAAAGGCCAAAAAAAGTACTTGAAAAACCCTGATCACAAATAAATCATAGTTTGCTTCTTTATTTCAGCAAATTTCTACTTTTTCAGTT